TAGATAAAACCTTTAATTAGACTAAAAATAAGTTCTCAGTTTTGCCCACAAAACCATGTATATCACAACACCACCAACACTCTGAAAGCAGAGCCCACTGCTGTATACAAAGAAGGCATCCCCAGCCCAATTGTTTAGAGGACCAAAACAGTCTAGCTCACACTACCTGGAACTGCGTGAAGGAGTTTCCAGGCAACCACAGATTATTCAGATAATATTTATAGCTATTTAGAAAAGGTCCATAAAACTTGGATCCCAGTCTGTGTACCCAGCTTCTTAATTCATCAAACCGCATTGGAAAGGTTTGCAAAAATACAGGGGAAAATACTGGGTTTAACAGAGTTAAATAGCTGAGAATTCATTATAATTTGAGCAGTTAGGCCATGCCCATAAGCTTTCCTCAATTAAAACTGATTAAAATCACAGCCTGTAGATAGCCTGGGAATAAATGTTAGATTCAGTGACAAATTAAAGAGCAACGTTTTACACTGAGGATATACTGGTGTAAAATGTTCTAAACTTAACATTGTGGCTTTTGGCATTAAGTGTACACTTTCTTAAATCTATATCATTCACTACTTTTTATAGCTTAATAGCTATTTGTCTCACCAGGATTTCTGGTGTTCTTCAGCAATAAATTATACATTGGCTTATCAAACTGATCCATTATTCAATTTTTTTTTTAATCCCAAACATTTCATGAAATAACCCTCAACAAGAAGAATAGTTCTATAATGGACATTTCACAAGGATTGCATATATTCACCTGAAAGCAATCATTTCCAGAATATAAGTACACTGTTTTCTTTCCTATGGGTACAAACACAGTTTCATAACCCAGTTTGTTTCCTTTTGTTTATATGATTTCATTGTTTGTAAGCAGTGGTAGATTTCTATAACTCCACTACTATATATGATAGTAGGATAAGATGGTTTTATTTGTTTACCACCTCTAGTACAGAAAAATGTTCCAGAATAACAGTTTGAAGAACAGTTCAAAGTTTTTAGAGTTTTCCTTAGAAAACTGAAGAAAAATATGCGGACTATATTTTTTTCACTTGTGCAATATTAGGTATGGGTTTTTTGTTTGTTTGTTTGTTTGTTTTTCAACTCATAGAAAGATCTCTAAGCTTAAGGCTTCTGGTATTGGTTAGAGAATGACTAACTCTAACGTATACAGGCAATCTATCTCAAAGCGGTTAAGGAAGAATCACTTCTACAGCAAAGTCCTTGTACCACTTATTCAAAATGTTGCAGAAAAGAAAATGGAGGGAGCTGTTAAAATCTCAGCAGGATGCAGTAGTGGAAAACCTGATTTGGTTGTTATAAGCCAAGTACATATTGATGCAGAACTTCTGACAGTCAGTGATTCAACAGCAAATTTAAGCAAGTTTAAGAAGCTCTTTAGGGCAATGGACGGCTTTCCTTCACTCACTCAGCTCCTGTAAATTTCAACAAATTTTCAGTACATTACAGAAATTAGTCAGAAAATACAATGACTGGCATCCAAAGGAGTGACAAGACAACAGGAGTCTTTTGTATCTACAGAGATTGAAAACATTTCTTCTTGAATGCACTGATAATAACATCAAAAAGGGCTCTGCAAAACGTGGCCTTCCAAACAAAAACCAGTCAGCTTAAATGAAAACCCTTCTTTTCCACTATTTCAGTTACAGATTTTAAATGTTTCAACAATGTAAGATACAAGTTGTACAAATTAGGCAAACATAGCTATGTTTCTCCTGGTGTGAATTCCCATCTTCCAACAGTCTGCAGCCGAGTCAGTAACAGTATCCCTACCCTGAAACCATCAGTATCTGATTTGTTTGCTCTTGAGTTTACACCTTGTTTCTTGAAGAAGAAAGCAAAATCTTCTGTTGCAGCTCTCCAAAAGCAGGAGAGGACTTTTCCCTGACTCAGAAATGACTGACGTGACCCTGAGAGGAGAGGATCCAGAGGCAGAAGGAAGCAAGATTCCTCAGATGCTTTACCAGTGCTTTATCAATAAATACAGTGGCTGAATGAAAGCACTCTAGAAGTCTGAAGTTTGCCGTGTCTGTCTGTTTGAAGTCTCATTATTAGCTTTTCACTGACATAGGCATTTCATAGAATTAGTCTACAGATGAACAGGTACAAGAAAACTGAATAGGAAAGTGTTCTGCATTTTAAGACAGTTAAGTACGCAAATTTATTAGTTAAATTAAAATGTCAATTCCCTCAAATTATATCAATGATTCCAGGTTCATTATGGAAAAATTGTATCAAGGCTGGGGACTGATAAAGAATTCTATAATCTTTCTAATTCACTCTACCAAATGCAATTAAAAGTTATTAGATTTCTAACACTTAAGCCTCTGTATAAAACATTATTCTAGTAGGAAATTAAACACTGAATTACAATCTACTTTCATTTTTATGCAAAAACTTACTGAACAAATATAGCCAAACCACCAGAGTACAAGATGTGCTGTATTTTAGGAAATTTATTTCCATTCACTGGAGGACTAAAATCCATAGCAACCCACAGCAGTACTACTTCAGTAATGATAAGTAAGTGACAGCAAGCATCAAGACCATGGAACTCAGGAGTCATCAGTGAGATCTCAGTAGAAGTCTGCAGGTTCCATTAAGTGTTAATAGAATTATGTATATGATTTAATAACATTTATTTACTAATCTGATGGATTTACTATGAATACAGAACAGATAGAAACTAAATAACACATACAGCCCATGTTTACTTTCAAGATTGCAGCAGAAGATTGGGTAGTGAATTACAAAAACCTGCACTGCCAACCATGTCACTATCTTGCACTTATTTTACTGACATGAAATAGAACAAAAAACCACTCTTCTGTTACTAGATTTCTTCTAGTACTCCAATTACCTTACAGTCTTGAAAGAATATCTTACTAGCTGCACATGCAATCAATGCTATGTGGTCTTTACTGACTGCATGTGGGTTTTCAAAACCACTTAGATTTTGGGTTTATTCACAAAATCTTATATGGTTCAGTGCTCGCTTATCTGAGGCAGAAAAGTAAGAGTGAAAATTGATTTCTCAAATTGCTGGTGGGAACTCTTCAGTTAACGCTCTTAGCCACAGTGATTTCAAATGCCTGTGTCTTCAGTTTCTGTTTCTTCCTATGCTATAGTAACTTTGCACTTTTGTGGCTATAATGCATCAGCATACCTTTTAACTTCTTAACAACCAGTATTCTTTACTGAATTACCCATTTCTACCACAGCAGATACTCTGGAAGAGGAAACCAACCTGCCACCATAACAGGGTCACTGGTGCCACTGGCTGAAACAGTGTCCCCTCTCCTAAGCTCATATTGCTCCAGGCACCACACTTCTGCTGCACAGAAGCACTGTCATGAAACCTCATAGTCCAAGCCCACAGTGAGGTCCCAGTGTCCCACAATCCCCCTTGTGTAAGTATTGCTTATAACTCAGACCCCTGTCTTGGACTGACCCAGCTTGTTTCATCTCAAACAAAAATAAGTACTTCTGAAGGCAATTTGATGCAGGAATCACACTCAAACAGAAACAAGGGTGAGTCACGTTTAGGTCTGTGCTCTGTGCAGTTACTGCAACATTAACTCAGACAAGGTTATGCACTGAAACCCCATAACAAATACAGGGTAATACACCATATGTCCTCAGTATTACGGACTTAGAACAATTTCATTAGGCTACAAAACTGCCCTTGAAGTGAACTGGCAACTTAATAATCCCATGCGTACAAAACTATTTACAATGTCACAAGGAAGCACAGGGCCGGTTGCAGTGCCAGACTGCTCTGCAGAGATGAGGTCTGAGCAGCATGGACACAGACATCCTGCAGCCTAGGTCCAAGGGCTGTAGCTCAGTCCTCGGAATAAACGTGTTTAGCAGCATAGCTGTACTTATTTAAAAACACATTGCTCCAGATACAGTAGCTCACATCCCCGCACTGATGCCAACAACACCAACTCCAGTGTTTCCCTGGGTCCAAGCAAAAAGAAGAGCCACCTTTGGCTACTGGTAGCTTACTAAGCCAGTTAATATAGCTGAAGTAGTAGCAAAAGGGGCGGAAGGTGTTGTTTCCAACCTGATCACCACTCTACAGTTAGAACTAGCTCTATACTGTGCATAACCAAAACGCACATAATATTCAGCCAGTGACTTACTCTTTATGAGTTATTCATCCTTAAATCTATTGCTTTTTTTTTTTTCCCACTGGACATACACAGTGAAGGGATTCAGATGAACAAGAGAAAACATAAATTTGAAATTCCATAACTTCCAAACACTCCACAGCCCAAAAAAATATCATTAACTTTTCATGTTACAGGCAGGTTTTATAACTGCACTTAAGTTAAACATGAGTTTTAATTTTGTTCTATTTTTGGGACATTTCAAGAATGTCCTTATAGGGATTTAGACACATAATAACTGTATAAAGACCTTCACAGACAGGTCTAGGCACAGAATGTAGTTATTTTTATTTCAATCATATGCAGTGTCTTCTAGATTTTATTTTGGGAAATTATTTATTTTGATGATAACATAATGGTAACTTGAAGTTATACGAAGAGCTATCTTTACTCACGAAATTATGCTAGACTACTTAAATGTTCTTACACAGAGTAATTACTTTCTGATCTCCGTAATGAATCTCAGTCATTTATTCAAGGCTACACTGAAATCATGGTAAGGTCAAATTTGCTCATTCTGTAATGTTTATCCACCTAGTTAACATTGGGAAGTCAGAAAAAGATGAAGTTAAGAGCTCTACCTGCTATTCCTCCTGGGGTGACTGAGTCGTGACTGCATTTCAAAAACCTGTTCCGAGAAACTGCTGTTCTGATTAACCCGGTGAAATTGTAAGGTCAGGGACTTACAAAAACATGGGTTTTCTGAATAGACTCAGAAAAATGTTACAGTTCAGTTAGCTGTTTTATTATTATTATTATTATTATTTTAATAAAATAGAATAAAACTGTGAAACTTACCAAGATCTAAGTAGACACCTGCAACAAATGAGTTGAGAAAAAACATCAGAATAACACATCCCAGCACAGTAAGGCATTTGACGAGAAGGATTTTGTCTGTTATTCTGTGCTGCAGAGGGGAAAAAGAATTGGATAATTGTGTTAAAGAAGGAACTATTTATTGTGCACAGAGTTAAAAATAAAAAATAAAAAAAAATTAAAAAAAACGTGTGAAATAGAAAAAGCTGTTCCTGTATTGTATATTCTTCTTCAGCATAAAATACATAAATATTTAAAATGAAATATTTCATGTTTACCTATAGAAAACATGATCACGTAGTAAGAGAGACCTAACATGAAGACAGGAGATAAAACACGGTTGTGCAAGTATAGTTGAAAGGCAGTTTTTATTATAGAGGGAACTTCAGGTGCTCTGTGGTTTCTCAAATTTGGACAAAATCATCCTTTATTGCGATTATACTCTGAAAACCTATAACCTAACCTAATGGCCAGATTCTTCATACATCACGTACAACTTTCAAAGACATGCCATGCCCCTAATCTTTATAGAGCTCCTGTACCACAGACCAGCTCCTCATGCTCTCATTCTCATACTGAAATTCTTTCCATTGTGCTGTTGCTTCTCTGCTCTGAAATCACCTTCACCAGCAACCCAGGGAATCCCTCTATCTCAGAGTACCTCTCTCATTGCTAGTCTCTTCCACACAGTTTAGAAATCTACCAAAGTATAATCAAATCTCACTTCTTTTAAAAGTTCATCATTTATACAATGCTTTGGAAAAGGTCTAAAACCAAACAGAAAATTCAGTTGGTTTTGTTCTGTTTTGGTATGGCACATAGAACAGAGTGCTCCCAGCCAAGGATTTGAGCTCCCAATTACACGCCTGTACTCATTAGTGCCAGCAATGTGGAAAGGATGTGATGATTAGGCTAATGAAGATGAAATTAATCCTACTATAGGGTATACATCCTGTCAGGTTCAGCTTCAGCATAAAGATCTAGGCAGTGTTAATATGTGCACAGCAAAGAAAACAGGATTTATGCAAGTGGTTTATGCCTACTTAAATAACATAGCAGATGTGTTACAGATAGTGTAGTAAATTAGAGTTGGTATTACTCTGTCATCATGCATTGTGGTTATAAACAACCTATTGACACCTTCTAAGACTTTCTGGCCATGGCGGATTAAAATTTTAAGAGAACATTGCTGAATCATTTATTGATCCTTTAAACAACTCTTTTCTAAAGAACACATATAAAACCTAACTCATACAATGTAGTTCAGTATATCCATCCTGATGAGAAGCCAGCCAGTCTGCCTGCCAGCTTTTCTTCTCCACGAGACTTATTAAATTTTCATTGGATTCAAAGGATTTTCCTCATAAAAAGCCGTAGGTCTACTTACACTTATATTAAGAACAACTGCCATCTACTTACTTTTTTCTGGAGTTCCTGAATATTTGTTTCCCAGTTTTTATCTTCTTGTGAAATTTGCCTGAAAGAAAATGACACCTGCTTTTTTTCCAGAATGAAATGAGAGCCCTGCCAAACAGTATTGGAATAAATCTCTCTCATCACATCCAGATCATTCTTTCCCCTTTAAGGAGTAACTCATACTACAGAGGAACCATGGCTGCCTTATGTTCAGTAGCAAAATTCCCATGACAATTTACTTAAGACCCCACTTTCCTAATACATACTACCAGTGCACAGTTTGGTTCATGAAGAGTGCCACAGACTTGGAAACTGCAAGCATCCGGAGTATGAACCTGGATATAGGAGCTGGCTATATGTTCCATTTGTAGTTTCAGGAGGTAATGTGTGCCATTCTGTAATTAAGCAAGGGTCATGTGCTAACACCAACAAGTCAGAACATGTGTTACATTTGCATTTTATAATGAAGTTTTAAGATCCGAATAAGTTACTTCTTTCTGTTATCAGCATAGTCAGCCCTGCAGCAAAAAAAAGCCTTGGGGTTTGCAGTTCAGGAGCTCTGCTGCTAATGTTAATGAATTTCTACATCACTCTCAGTGTGCTTGTGCTGAAGGAATCCTCATTTTCAAAACTGAACGTACGATTTTTTATACACTTCAGAATTATTTTCTTTAAGGTGTTGTGAACTCTAATAATGTCACAATCTTTTAAAAAGACTTTTTATGTCACTTTATTTAAAGTGCACAATATCAGGAAAAAATTAAAGGAAAATATTATAGGAAAATATAAGGAAAAATTATCTTATTCCTGGAATAATTTATGCTTGCATCATTTACTGAATTAAGAAGTTTATTTGTGAAAATAAGAAAATTCACTGTCACAGTACTTATATTACTATTCTCAAACATCAAATTTCCTACATTAACAGCTGGTTTTGCCGGAACCTAAACAAAAATAAGGTTAATTTTTTGTTAGTCTTAGTTTATAAAAACTTCTCCTTTTCTATACATACCTAGTTAATTATGAATATACTCACATCCCCACTGAAGATTTGATTACTTTAAGAAGTAGTAAATCGCTGTTTTGAAAATTCAGTAGTTCACTGAAGAACATTTGAATTTTTCATCAGGGAAAAATTTACAGCATTTTACTACATTGAAGCTATTATTGCAGGAAAAAGCCTAATGATGCATTTGTGATCTTTTAAAACAAAAGCTACCTGGAATTTCTGGGTCGTCAAATTTTTGTTTATTCACAATATGTGTTCCAGACCTTACACATTAGTTTTGTCCTAAAGTACTTGGTGTATCACTGAAGCTGAGCTTCCATGGTTCTTTGTATCTGCTCAACTCTTTCAACTCTTCGAAAGGGTAGATAACAGCAGGACAAGGGGAAATGGTTTGGAGTTGAGGGAGAGAAGATTTAGGTTGGATGTCAGGGGGAAGTTATTTACAGAGTGGTGAAGTGCTGGAACAGGCTGCCCAGAGAGGTTGTGGATGCCCCGTCCTTGGAGGTGTTCAAGGCCAGGTTGGATGGAGCCCTGGACAGCCTGGTCTAGTATTAAATGTGGAGGTTGGTGGCCCTGCATGTGGCAGGGGGTTTGGAGATTCATGATCCTTGAGATCCCTTCCAACCCTGTCCATTCTGTGATTCTGTGATCAAGAAATGGCTGAGAATGTAGGTCTCATGTCAGTGAAGATAGTAGCAAAACTAGAATATCATTCCAACTGCAAACTGAGATGAGCAGGAGTTTCATGTCAGTCCAACAAAGTGCCTATGCCTGCAGCTCATCCTGCCAAGGGTGGAAGAAAGGAGGTGGCACATGCCAGCACCACTCACTTGTGGAAAGTCCTGAGCTTCTTCCTCAGGAGTATCTCCAGAGTCAGCACCTTCTGCATCAAGAGGCATTTCACGGCAGTTTCTTCCCTGCTGGCAGGGTTAATGCGCTGAGCAGTCAACCTCCAAACATAGATCTCATGTTTCAGTTCTAAAACAAAGCAAGATAGTTTATCTTATAGCAGATGTAGTAGGTATGAAATCAAAGACTCACAAAGTACGTGCAATATGTCCTAGACTGAAGGCTATTAAAATGCTCAGAATGGTTTCCAAAGAGTTTGCCAGTTTCAGAGTTCTTTTTACCACTTACTTTTCAAAGCTGAAGGGAATGGAAAATTGATAGAAACATTTCAATTTTTTAACGAAAGTGATCTCAAATTCATTTCCCAATTAATATAACGTGCTATCTTCAAATATTTGCTTCAGACCACCACAATCTTTACCGCTAAAATTGTATCATATTTGCTTTTCATCAGATCATAACCTGCCAACACACATTAATGTACTGCTAAAATGCAGACCTGAGTAATATCTGATCCCGTGTAAGTTTAAACAGACTGATTAATACTTCAAATCAGTCTTCAGAGTGTTGTTTGAGCATGTTTTGATTTATTTTTTTGAGTACTATCAAGGTCTTGAAGAATAAACGAAAAGCGTTCACTCCTGTTGACAGCAGACATCAGAATGGTCATGACAAAAAATATCCTTTGGATTTTACAGGAGATTCCTAAGGATATAAAAGCTGATTATTCATTCAGAAACTATCTGAACATATACTTCCAAGTTAGCGAATTGGACACTTCCACAACTTCCTTTTATTTCTTTCCCCTCAAATTTCATGTCACTGAAGAAAAAAAAGTCAAGAATTCGTGGCTTTATATCTTAAGATCCATATTTAGCATGCAAATTACACTTATCTCAAGAAATTGACGAGGAAGTATTTGCACCACCTATGCAATCTGTAAGCATTATTTATAAAAAATAGAGTGAATAATGAGAAATATTTAAACACATTTTGATGTAAGCAGTGACATTAATATTTACAAATCCCCAGTTGTTCATGGTATTTAATGACAAAATGAACACTAAATGTGTTTAATATGCTCTCTACCTTTGTTACCAAGTATTTATAGTGATAATACAGAGCATATTATGTAATAATTAACCATGAGAGGAAAGTAGACACGACAGAATTCAACCATTTGAAGGAAAAAAGTAAGGATGTTCAGTGCCATCATAACCTTCCTGAGAAGCTGATGAACAGAAGTTGACTTAGATTTCGTACAGCTCACATCCACAGATGAGCAGAGCAAACAGCTTACAAGCCAACAAAATGGTATTCTTTGCCTTGGATTTAGAACTCAAGGCTGAAACTGTAAACTCATTATGTAAAGCTAAATGATTGTTCCAGGTTATTAAACAACCTGTGTTTCGTCTAAAACATTTCTTATAAAAAGAAGGATTAATACCTAAATTATAGGTATCAGAGGTACAAGATCTAGGATTTTCCTTTGTAATATATTTGGTGATTCTTGTCAGGAGCATAATCTGATGCTACTTCATATTAAAACATGGATATGTCCTGCTTATCCATATGAGACTGTGCAGACACCCTGTCCCAGACATCATTTACTTTTTCAGCAACAGCTTGTGACATCCACAAATAAATCAGCAGTGATCTTCTATTCCCTTCCAGAACATAAACAAGAAAGTGACAGAGCTATAAGCTACAGCTTATCTGCTCCAGAAAAAAAAAAAAAAAAAAAAAATCTTTTTTGAGAATTAAGCTGAATGTGAACTGTGCAGAAAACCTATTTGAAGCCTCAGAAATGGTGGAAATTATTCTTTAATAAAATTCAAGATTAAATTTTAAGTCTCTGAATCTGTAAGCACTTTAAATAGCTATTTCTGACAGAAGCAAGTGGCAAAATATCAGCTGCTTTTTCCTACAGACAGGCAAGTCTAAATGGAGAAATGCTAGAACATGGCTTTCTTGCACAATCTCCTGTTCAACTCTACTAGAAAAAACTTTTTAATTGAAAAGATTTCCTGAATCTTTCATGGTGAAAGCAATACTTTACTATCCTCCATGCTACTCTGGACTGGATAAGATAGAATCTTCTTTATGTAAATCAAGCAGATAAAAAGGGGAAAATACCCTCAACAGCTGAATGGTCCTTTTCATTCTGCTCTCACATGCAATTTTCAAGTCAAATGGACTGTGGCTTTGAAACCGTTTCTCATCATCAGTTCAAGAGGAAGAGCGCGGTTTTATCTTTTTCTCTGGCAAACATGCACAAAGAATAATTATCCAGTTAGCCATTTTGCAACACCTTTTCTGGTTATGGAATCACAGTATAGTTTGGGTTGGAAATGACCTCAAAGATTTTTGAGTTCCAACCTTTTACCTGCTCCATGCCCCGGGCAGGGCTTCTTCCCACCAGCTCAGGCTGCCCAGTGCCCCATCCAACCTGGCTTTGACCGCCTCCAGGGGTGGGGCACAGCCTCTCTGGACAGCTGTGCCAGCACCTCACTGCCCTCTGAGTGAAGAATTTCCTCCTAACATCTAATCTAAATCTCCTCTCTTCCAGTTTAAAACAGTTATTGCTCACCCTATTACTGCATACCCTTGTAAAAAGTCTCTCTCTGTTTCTGCTCATGATGTATGTTTATGTTTATCCTGCTGTAACATTTCCTTCATCCTTTCCAAGTGAAACGCGACCAAGGATTTTGCTAATGGAAGTTGAAGTTTTCATCCTCTAACTGAGATGCAGATCCACACCGGGTATTTTCATACAGAGAATCTTTATCTTCACTCATTTGAAAAGAGATGCCTAGCATCACATATATCTGTGCCACAAACAAAGACAGAGCAGAATGACTGGTGTTTCACACTCCTGCTCCTGGTCTGAAGTGCTGTGGGGTTAATCTCCAGTTTCAGCAAGGTTGAACTAATACTTTGTCGTCTGTGTTAAAAAATGTGTGGGTTGTTTCATGTGGCTTTGATCTTGCCTTTGTGTGCAGCAAGTGCATGCTTGCTTGCTCAGACATTAGTTTTCTAAACACCCCTAGGATGTGAACGTCTGACCTGCAGTGAAATTTACTTCAGAGCAACAAGACCTTTGAAAGTCAGAACAGTTGATACATTTTTTTACAGTGCTAACCCTGTTACAGTAATTATTTCTAAAGAGGTTTTCTAGGTCATCCCACAGAAAGTTTCTCCTGTTTCAGTTTCAGGAACACTTTTATTGTAATAGCCTCCTATGGCAACAGGTAATACATGTGTTAGCAGTAGTTTTTGTTTCGAATGCAATACAATGTAAGATCCTTGAGGTGACTGAGAGCAATGAACATTTTCAAAAAACTGTGTTTTTATCTAGCCCTCCATCTTGGATCTGCAAAACTTTTTAGGTAGCAACTCATATAGTTTGGGACCCTCTGACCTTTTATGACATGTTGTGTTAGACATGATGGTGTAATATGACTGCAGCGTCTTATCAACCACTTTGAAACTAAGGCTAAGGTAGCACAAGGGCAGCATTTGGCTGCTACTGAGTGAGAAAGCCTTGCATCACATTTCCACATCTCTATAAGTCCCATCCCCTCAGCTGGGACTGGGTTGTGTATGACTGGGATGTGACAGTCATGTTATGCCAGGTCACGCTGATTTGGCTCACTCATCCAAGAAGACTCAGTCGACTAACCAATTTATTATTCCATTACAATACCAAAAGCTTCGCATGGCATATTCATAAAGCCCACCAGATGCTATATATATTTAGAATTAGTATATTCAGAATTAGTTTTTCAGACATTTTTTTCTTTCTTTTCTTTTCTTTTCTTTTTTTTTTTTTTTTTTTTTCTCTTTTTCTTTTTTCTAGAAAGGACATTTCCAACAAGAAAAGAATATTTTGAGGGATTTTATTCAAAAGGATAAGCAAAATTGCAATCCCTATAGTGCCAATCTATTCTGGTTTTGTCATTTAGTATATTTCACCATGGAAAGCACAGACTAAAAGCCCTGGACTGGTTGAATTTAATGAAATACCCACTACAGACCTGAGCTGTGAAATAGATAATATTTTCTGCATATTAGAAAACACTGTTTCATCAAAATGTGTATTCTTTCTGCATTGCACCAATAGTCAGACTGATTTTCACTTAATCACACATTCCCTCCCACCTGACTGCCAATAACAAAGAAGACATCCTCCAAACTGAGTGTAATTAATTCCCTGTCTCAGAATCTGCAGAGGACAGTGTTATTAATTGAAGATACTCAGAAGAGCATGACCAAACTAGTCAAGATGATAAGAACTATCATAAAATTGCAATTTTTAACTGGCAAGTGCACTAAATATATTATCTGCCTTTTTGAAAGCAAGACAAGTTTGGGCTGTGACTAACAAAATGCAAAGCATGTTCCTCTGAACGTGGGTTTTTTTCTCCAGATGCTCTTCTCGCTTAATACTTTTTTCAGCAAAGCAATTATGTTTCTTAGCTAAATTCTTAGAACAGGGCTACTTCTGTTTAAACATTAATTGAAAAGGAAATTAAGTACCAGGAATTATAGCTTAATCTAGTAATAGTAATATCTATAACTTAAGGTAAAAAAAATTTAAAATCCCTCATATAGTGTAATTAATCCTTCCAGCATATTAGAAAGTAAGCAACCATCAACTCCACTTTAAAAGCACAGGAGCTAAGTTAGATACGTGAAGCCTGTGTATAAAGAATTTGCCTCAAGAGACATTCCAGCTCAATGACTGATGCCTCTTTCCTAGAGGCAGTGTCTCCTTATGGGAGACAAGCATATGCTCTAATTCTGAAAATAAAAAGTCCAAAATGTCCTTGTCTTTATTTCTTTGAGTTGGCTCATTTACTGGTCATGTGGATACAGGTAAGCAGAGCTACAAATGTTGCAGGGTCTTCAAAACCGCAACAAAATACACTTTGTCTGATTCAGCTAAATAATTGCAAAGGAATGCAAGAAATCTGTACAGTGCTGCATAAAGCAATACAGAGATTTATATCCATCAGCTGTTGGATTGCTGGGGCCCCATTTGGTCACCAAGACACCTAGGGCATATTCAGATGCTCTGCACAGCACTGCAGATGTGGCAAGAGAAATACAGGAGACCCTCATCCCTG